GACCAGTATCACATGATCTCACTCAAATGTGGAATCTAAGTAACAAAATTAACTGATGAACGGAGTGAATCCAGAGACATGGAAGCATGGAACAGAGTGCAGAATCTGGGAGGGAAGGAAGGGGGAAGTGAGTGGATGGGAGGTAATCAATATATGCATGGCCCATGGACACAGACAATGGGATGGTGAGGGCCTGGGGCAGGGGCAGGCTGGAGAGGGTCAATGGGGGGCAAAGGGGAGGAAAGGGGACATATGTAATACTTTCAAAAATAAAATATCATGTTAAAAAATTTAAAAACCATGTTTGAGTTCAACATATGGGGAAACATTGATGCCATAGTATTAAGTGACAAAACAAGATATAAAAACTGTATGTAAGTTGGGATCTCAATTTTTTTTAAATAACATATTTTGTAGTGTCTAAAAGAGTACATTCTAGGACTTCCTTTTTTTTAAAAAATATATTTTATTGATTTTTTACAGAGAGAAAGGAGAGGGATAGAGAGTTAGAAACATCGATGAGAGAGAAACATTGATCAGCTGCCTCCTGCACACCCCCTACTGGGGATGTGCCTGCAGCCAAGGTACATGCCCTTGACTGGAATCGAACCTGGGACCCTTGAGTCCGCAGGCCGACGCTCTATCCACTGAGCCAAACCTGTTAGGGTTGGATCTCAATTTTTTTAATAAACAATTCAATCAGCAGAGAAAGACCTGGTAGAAAAACTCAATATTCAACAACAGTTATCTCTGAGAGGTGGAATTCTATATAATAAATGCATAATATGCAAATTGATCAAACGACCAAACAGCTGAAGAGCAGAAAGGTCATCAGACCATCATCCAGGACCACACTATGACAACCACTGGCGCCAGGCCAGCCAAGGCGGGTGCCATGTGATTGGTCAGGGGCCCAGCCATCATAGCCCCATGATCGCCCCGCAGAGGGAGGCCCAAGCCACCGGCCAGCGAGGCGATCAATTGGGGGCTCCACGATTGCCCCAAAGAGGGGGGCCCAGGCCACCAACTGGCGGGCTGTGGCAGGTGGGCGGGGCCTCCCTCTGGGAGGGAAGCCCAAGTCCTGAGTGCCAGAGGGAAGCCAGTACTGGCAGCTGGGGGAAGAAAGGCCTACTCTTGCACGAATTTCATGCATCGGGCCTCTAGTATTATATAATCTAAAATTTGTATTCATTTCTTTCTTTTTTTTTGGTATTTTCTATGACTGTGCATCTCTTTTATAATCCAAAGAAAGATATAAAGAATATAAAATAAACACAATGAAAACGGAACTATCTTACCTAGTATTCAAAGAAATGCAAGTGAAAATTTATTTTTGTTTCTACCTAAATAAATGAGGAACTATGGTGTAAGAGTGATTTTCCTGCCAAGCCTGTTTTGTGGTTTCTAGAGCTGTCTAGGGCATTTGTGGAGGAACTCTGGCTGTTGCCTAACAACGTGCCTCAAACAACAGACATGGAAACATAGCTCCCCGTATCTTTGAGAAAACAGTTCTGCCCTTCTATGGATGGAGGGAGTCTTGAAAAGAAACCTGATATTTCTAAATTTGCTAAGACCTACTTCTCTCACTTGCTCTCAGGTAATACTACTTTTGGGTAGCCCAAAATGTGGTTGCTAGCTCAGCAGTTAAGCCAACAGTATTACAAGTCATGTTGAAACTGAAGTGGTCCCCATAGGCCAGAAGAGTGGGATACAGACAGAGAAGAAAATTAGCTTGTGAGTTGGAACAGACTGCCTGAATTTGAGGGTCTAAAGGGATGCCATCTGTGAATTCTCTCCCTGGGTGCTCAGGGAGATGAATGGATAGCCCACTGGATCCTATACACACTCCAGATGCAGTGGATCCTAAGGGGCAATGGGCTCTTCCCCTAACCCAAAGCATGCATATCTCGATCTTTATTGGTGGTAAGGTCCCTGGGAAGCTGACTTCTCCCTTAGATGATCACTTAATGAGCATAGAATAAGCCTAAAGTGAGTAAGATTTTGGAAAGACTTGGCATTTCCCCCAAGTGCTGGGGCAGCCCTAGGATGTGGTCATCCTCCCACAGCACTCACTCTGGCCTAAGGCTCCGTCCATCACCCAGATCCTGCTGCAGGCCACCGATAGCACTTGCCTCTAAGCCTCTGGTATCCTTTGCTTCTGAGTCGGTTGACCATCTTTCATTAGAGATATTACTGATGTCACAGAACAGCTATCGCCAGAGGCAGCACCACCCAGGCTGCACCTGCCATCATTGGGTAGATTGATTCTGATAAACTGAATTCTGGAGGGCAGATATCCGCTTCCTGCCAACATCATTTACCTGCAGACCTCCTGTCTGGGGAATTTTCATTGCCTACCTATGATCTCTGCTCTTTTTTTCCAGAGACATAATTGACACATGACAATGTATAAGTTTAAGTACAATGTAGTGATTTTATATATGTATGTATTGCAAAATGATCACCACAATAAGGATAGTTAACACATCCATCACTTCACATAGTTATAACTTTTTTTGGGGGGGGGGTGATAACTTAAAATCTATTCTCTTAGCAACTTTCAAATACATAATATAAGTTAAAATTTAATGAAAAGTTTTATGATTCAACAGCTGGAATGAGGATCATGTAATAATGGAACAACTTTGAACACCTAAGAACAGTCCCCTCCACTGGTTGTTTGAGCCAACTCTCCAGAAGTTTCCCACCACCCACTCTGCTCCCATGCCTTTTCTCTTAAGGGCCCCATGCTCTCACTCATGTCCTTTACATATGCCACTCCCTTGCCTTAGAATGCCATCCCTTCCTTTTTGCTTGGAGCACCCCTTACCCTTACACAGTCAGTCACAAGTCCTTGCCCTTGTGTTACCAATTAATGCAAATTATAATTTGTTCAGTTCTCTGTTCTGCACTTCAATGTTAAGCACTGCTTAAGCATTGAGGACAGAAGCTGGGCCTCATGCATCTTTGGAACAACTCTGGATCTGAGCTCACATATTGCATAGAAAATATGCTTAATAAAGGTTTTGTGATGTTCTTTCATATGTTATGTGTCAGTAGCTAAAAATTCCCATGCCCTTTGACCCAGTTATCCCCCATGGTGTGGAATTTATCCAAAGGAAATAATTGAAGAGGAGAAAGGAAATTACACATGTTTGTATTTGGCAAATATTGGAAATAAGTGAAATGTTTATTAACAAAGCAATGGGGAATAAATTATGGTACAGGATCTTGATGGGACATGATTCATCCTCTTATTGGTTAAACAAACATACTGACTACCAAGGAGGTACCAGAAATACAGCAACGAGTCAGATGCCTTTAATGAGGGCACATCCTGGCAGTCTTCTAAAATGATCATCACAAAACTATAGAGGAACAGAGAGCAATATGTGACCTCATGTTAAGAGCAGATTACAAAACTGTCTGTACATTGTGATTGCGATGAGGATATGAACAAGATCTGGACGGGCAAATGACAATACTGCATGGTCGGATTACAGATGACATTTTCTTTAGCATCATTATAGCTGTTTTTCAAGCTTTAAAGTTTTAGATCATCCCAAATGTTAACTGATAAAGAAAGCCACTCCTGTGACCCTGGCTCTCCAGGTTGGCAGTGGCATGAATGATGGGGTTATCTCCAGGTGGGCAGGAGTTTGCCACAAGATGATTGGGAGGGAATCTTCAAGGCAGTCTGGAGGGCTGGGTCAGGGCAGGTTATTGATCCGTACATCCAAGAGCATCCACAGAATGTCACTCTAGGAACCAGCCTTCTCTGTGTCTGGGCTAGAGCATGCATCCGACCTACAGGCTCCTCCAGGCTCTGCCAACACCATCACTTAAACACGGTGCCAGGTGGGGAGCAAGTTGTAGTCTGGGAACCAGACGAGTGTTGGGACCTGCAACAGTTGGTGACTGGTTCTTCATACTGGAAACAATGCTACCAATGTGAAAAGTGACATTATCTCCATTGTACAGATGAGGAAACTTAATATCAGTTGTCCTAGGCCACCCAATGGGCAAGTGATAGAGCGTTGGGATTGAAAATCCTTTTCAGTTTGGGCCAGGGTTCTTTCTATTCCCCTTGAGCCCAGAAGCAGGTGGAGATACATGAAGCCAGATAGAAGAAATCTACATGACAGGGTGGGTGGAGTCCTTTGAAAAGGGAAGGCAATAAGGAATCTCTTGGAGGGTTTCAGAGGCCAAGTATTTGAGCTTGGACTTGAAGCAGTTGGCAATGGGGAACCTTTGTAGTTTTGGGGACATGAGAGAAGGGTTTTATTGAAGAGGAGGCTAGTAATGTGTACTGGTTGGTGTGATTGGAGGAGAGGCTAGGCTAGACACATGGTAAAGTTGGTGGGCAGCTCTTGTCTGTCTGATCAAAACAGCACCTACCTCTCCAGCTTCTTGGAAACACATCTCCATGAATCGCTAGCCATAAGATTGGATGGGAAACTGCCATATTCTCCATGAATACCAGCAACTGATGTAAGGATAGGCATCTGATACAAACTTGGCCAATCAGAGCCCTTCCCTAGGAATTTTGACCTTGAGACCAAAAAGGGAGGAATGGGTCTCAGTCCCTTTCTGATGACAAAGCTGTGCTATGTGAGTCTGGGAGCTCAGTTACCACTCAAAGATTTGAGAATCAGAGAGAGGAAATTCTGGCTTGATTCAAACCCCTGTCCTGTGCACTCTGAGGGCTCAGTCACCCCCTTGTCAGTGCCACAGTGTGAACAATACTTACCACCTCCTTTTTACCTAAGCTAGTTTGAGTCAAATTTTTGTCATTTGTAAACAAAAAAGTTCTGACTTTTGCAGCAGGAGACATGCCTATCCTCAATCATTCAAGTTTTAAGGACAATTCTCAAAAACACCTTAGGGGTTTTGGAAGGGGGGAGTGGGTAGCCACTGGGGCCATCATTTCTTGCACGTAAGAAACAACAAAAAATTTTGTCCTCATTTTTCAGTGTCAGAGTCAGGAGCTCCAAGCTCTCTGGAGGGACAAGGCTTTGGGGATCTCTTCAGAGATTCATGGACGCATCTCCATCACTGGTGTAGTGAGTCAAGTTGCTGCTCAGAACACTTTCCCTCCTGCTCCTTTGTGATTCAGAAGAGGAGAAACCTACATGGACGGATCTGCAACATAGGACAGCCAGGAATTTCCTATACAGGTGGTAAAGGTATCTTCTGAATTTCTCTCCAGCGAATGCATAGATAAGGGGATTGAGACAACAGTGGATAAATGCAATTGTCTCAGTCACATTGAGCGCCAATTTCAGATCCCGCTTCGTGTCACATTTGGGAAAGAAGTTGTAGAGACTGAGTGTCTCTAAGAAAATCATAATGTGGTAGGGTGTCCAGAAGAGGAAAAACATGATGACCACCAGAAATATCAGTTTAATGGCTTTAGCTTTCTTGTTGTTCTTGCAGGAAAGCAGTGTCTGCATGATTCTGAAGTAACAGTAACTCATAATGAGCAAAGGGAGCAGGAAGCCAAGAATGTTTGCTTCCATGTTGCGGAGCACAGGCCAGATGTCCCGCAGGACCTCAGGGTAATCCCCGAAGCACTGGTTTTCCGTAAGCTTTGTGAACATGAACTGGGGTGCTGCTACCAAGATGGCTGCTGCCCAGACGCCGAGACTGATGGTGACACCGTGCTGCACTGTCCGGTTGTTCATGGAGTTGGCAGCCAGGACAATGGCCAGGTACCTATCGATGCTGATGATGGTGATAAAGAATATGCCTCCAAAAAAACCAATGAAGAAGAAGGCAGTAGTGAGTTTGCATGTGGCATTGTGAAAGCCTTGTTCCCTTATCTGATAGTGAATCCAGAAAGGCAAGGTGGCTACAAAAAGCAGATCGGACAAGGCCAGGTTCAGGAGATAGATGTCGGTGATACTCTTGGACTTCTGACTATGGATGAGGGAAAACACCACCAGCAAATTTCCCACCAGGCCAAAGGCAAAGACAAGGGAGTATGCTATGGGCAGGAAAGTTGTTCCAAAGGCCACGATATCTCCTATATGACAGGCTTCTGCACTCTCATCATACTGAAAGTCTTCTGAAATTGACTCAGGGAAGGAGGTAGGCATGGTGAGGGTCTGGATCAGAAAGGAAAACAAGGAACAGCATGAGTTCTCAGAGTGACAAAGTCAGAATTCTGTCTGTCCCCATACATAGGCTGACTGGAAGCAACAAATATTGGTTGGTGCCTAAGCAATACATTTTTCAATGTCAGACATGTTGTCTCATTGTCCCCAAAGCTGTCTCTGTGGAGGCTGTAACTGATTCCTTTCACATTAGAGGAAGTCAGATCTCTAACAGTGACTGGCCCAAGGCTACCCAGTCAGTGAGTCAGCTAGCATTTGAATCTAAGTTTTTTGAAGCACAAGACAAACCTTTTTTACTTTTTCTTTTTAAAAATATGGTTTTTTTATTTATTTTTAGAGAGAGAGGAGGGGAGGATAGAGAAATAGAAACATCGATGAGAGAGAAGCATCATCAATTGGCTGGCTACCTCCTGCAATGCCCCTTGCTGGAGATGGAGTGTGAAACCAGTCATGTGCCCTGACTGGGAATCAAACCAATGACTTGGTTCATGGGTTGATGCTCAACCACTGAGCAACACCAGCCAGGCCAAACCTTTAAAAAAATATATTTTTAAAAGTTTCTCCAAAAGTAGCTAGCTTTATCATTGTGTGGATGGGGGAGAGAGGGCCATTGGCAGGGAAATGAGGGGGTGGGATGGTGCAGGGGTGCAGTCGTAATTCACACTTCTAGTCCCAACTTCCTAAAGCAATTCTCTGCTCTCTTCACTTATTCCCTCCCCCTCTACCCTCTGGGCCCTAATGTCTCTTGCAGGAAGCTGAGACTGCAGAAACCCTCCAGAGCCACCCTCCAGAGCCCTGAGCAGACCCATACCCAACAGCCCTCACTTTTGTTTTTGGGAGCCAGGTTTTTCCTTTTCCTCTCAGAACCAACAAGTCCTTCCTTCCCTTAAGAGATAAGACATAGATTCACATGCTCTATGGTGACTACCTTGTCTTGGTTTGCCCAGGATTTTTCCAGTTTTGGCCCTGAAAGCCTCCTGTATTGGAAATCCCTCACTTCTGAGCAAACCCACATGGTAGGTCATCTAACCGCTCCTAGAGAAGAGGATGTGTCACCATAAAAGTGCTGCTTGATCCACTATGGAGGACTGTGCTTATTAGCATGCTGCACTGGGCCTGAGTGGCTAATTAACTTGATAATTACCAGCCCCACACTTGACTTTGGCCTAGCTTTCCCCACTCTTCTTACTTCCTGTTTCCTCCTGAACAAAAGTGGAAAGAGAAGACCCTTCTGAGCAGGTTGGGAAGTCACACTTCTCCCTTATTGTCCCTCTCCTCCCCCCTCTCAGCCAGGACTCACTCCTCACTCTCCAGAGGCCACAAGAGGAGCCCTTGTGCCCTGGTCCCTGAGGCCGTCTTTGTGATATCACAGATAGGTACCTCAGAAACCTATCTGTGATATCACAAAGTCATTTTGTGGCAACCAGGCACACCTCCTGGTTGTCATTGCCTCCCTCCCCACCACAACTAAAAGCAAAGCTCACACTTCTTTAACCAAGGGAGTTTCCACACCCCCCACTGCTTCCTTTTCATGCTGGTTTCACTAAGATGGTGCTTCTGCCAGGGTGAGGATCCACCTAGCCAGAACTTTGCTGCTCCCTCCCAGCCTCTGCCTTATGTCCAGGCCCATCTCTGCATCTGACCCAGACTCTGCCAGAACTAAGTAGGCCAAGGCTCTGGCCTGGGCTGTCTCAGGCTGGGATGGAGTTCTCAAACCTAGAAAAAACCTACACTTTCTTTGTTTTAGGCTGCAGTGCCCTTTTCTCAGAAAGGAACCTCTGGCTGTGACCTTAATAATATTTAAATTGAACCATATAAAATGGCTGATATGCAACCATTTTAGAACCACACAAATGTCACAAGCTGGCACAAGCTGATAGGGGAAGACAGAGGAATTGCTACTTGGTGATGGTGGCTTGATGAAAACACTATCTTTCCAGACTTGCAAATAGCAGGGCAAATAGTCAAACCCTTGGGGTCATAATTAGGGATCCTGGGGTTAGCTACCCTCTCCCTTCCTTTCCCCGCAGTGAAAGGAGCTGGCATGCTGACCTTGAGAGGAGGTCAACATCAATATAAATCATTTTGCAGCTTTTCAAGTGCCTGTGCTCAGTCCTGCAGCCCAGAAACTTCGTGCTTTGGGGTTGGCTTGATTTTGCCAAATGTGCATGAGGTGGGTTTGGTTTCCATTCTTGGCATCATGCCTTACACACAGGGACCTCCTACAAATGTCCGGGTAAGTGTCCCTGGGTCATTGAGGAGGGAGAACAGAGAGATGGGCAGGAAGGGTGAGGGCTGCAGATGGGCTCTCCCGAGATTGCATCCCATGCCTCCCCTCTCTGGCCCAGTGACCTTGGGTGAACTTGGAACCTCTGGGCCTCACATTTCTCACCTGCAAGATTGGGGTACATTCTCATGCCTGCCCACAGTGCTGTTTTGAAGCGAGCACCTGGCACAGTGCGTAACATACAGCAGGCACTTAATAAATGTGTGAGGAAGCAGAAGCATTTTGGACAACCTTTGGAGTCACCCAGGCTGTCTGTGGACTCTTATATTTCACTCCCATCCTAGGCATTATGAAAATTTGGTCTGTAACGGTTTATTTTTCCCCCCCTAAAATAAAAAATGTTTCCTTTTCAGATTTTTTTTTGGGGGGGGGGGCTGGATAGGAGAGAGAAGAGGGAGTAAGCCAAGCTTTACTGAGCTTTTACTAAGCTTGCAGGCTCATTTCTGAATACTCCACATCATTATCTATTTAGTCCTCTCTGCAATTCTGAAGGGAAAGTCCTACCTTTAATTCATTGCCCTGCTGAATGGCTCCAGGCATATTTCTGATGAAAGGAAGGGAGAAGAGTGTCGAGATGGTAGAGGTGGTTAGAAATAAACAACTGACTTCCAGGCTGAGTGGCAAGGAGGTTCAAATCCAGCCCCTCACCTTGCTGGGTACCCCAGTTCAGGGCTGTCACACACAGGGATATTTTTTCTAATTGGCATTGAGATGCCAAATACACCAGAGTGGTCCTGGTTGGAGAGGTTCAACATCCATTCTACAAATACATATGAAGTCTTACAGGCATTGAGCTCTGCATGGCAGGGGACACGTGGAGAGATCGGCCAGGCATAGTTTCAGACCCAAAGGGGCTTGTCATCTCAACAGCAAAGAGGTCATGAAGACAAAGACTTTGATAAAAACAGAATGCAATAGGATGGCAATTTATCCTCAAGATGGAACACAATTTCAGATATGCTCTGGGAGGGATGATTTTGCCTGACTGTTGGCCTCATTGCCTATTGCAAGTAAAATGGCTGATTAGGGGGCATCATTCTAGGTTGGGACCACTACCTGCTGTCCAGAGAGTCCATCCAGGTTAAAGGGTTCAGCTCCCTGGTGGCTCAGCACTACCAGCAAAGACCCCAGAATTGTCCCAGTCTCCCACTGCTCTGCCTCAGCACTTGCACAGTGCTATGCACATAGCAGGTGCTCACTCAGCATGTTGGAGTCCCCTGCTATGAGCAACTGTGCATCATGATACAGAGAAAGGAACAGAGAAACAAAGCTTTCAATGAGCTCCTCATAGCCTAATATAATAATAGTAGCATGTTGTACATGCTCAATTAATGGTACCATAAAGAATTATCTCTACTTTATGGGCACGTAGATGCACTCAGAGAGGTGAGCGACTTATTTGAGGCCACACAGCTGGCATGTGGCAGGGCTGCAGTTTGGGCCCAGATGTGGCCAGTCTCAGTGTTTTTTCCAACTTTGCATACAGCCCTTTTCCCAACCCAAAACTAGGTGTTCCTAAGAGAAGAACAGTGGGTGTTCTCTTCAGTTCTGTTGACCACTGTTCAACAGGAAGAGCTCTAGCACAGAGCAAATGTACAGGAATACTTATAGAAGATTAATATTGTATCCTAGACCTTCATTCCATCATTCCATGTGAATAATGGCGACAGCAGGCCTTTAACTGCCTTTTTCCCAGAGGTGCTCACAGTGTACACAAGTGTCCTTTCTGATCATGGGCCAGGGGCCCTTGAACTCTAGGAGCTTAGTGGCCTATAGTGTGTTGAAGGAACGAATGGGTGAATAAATGAGTGAATGGGTGAATAAATGAATGAATAAGTGAATGAATGAAAGGCCTAGAGAAGGCCTTCCAAGGCAGAGCCCCAGTAGAAAAGCACAGGCCCACCAGATCTCCAGAAAACTTAAAAAATATGGTCTCATTTCAACATATTTAATTCATGGCTATTGAACATGTCTGATCATGGGATAGACACCAGAAGGAGCAATTCCAGCTCTTTCTTCTGTGCAAATGTCAAGGCCAAGCTGCTGCCTCAACTGTGTGATTCCGGGGTGGTCCAGGGTTTTACTTGGTTGGGAAGGGAATTTGAAATCTGTCTTAGCACTCGAGCCAGTTCAAACCCAGTCTTGTTAGACAACAGACCTGCATCATGTGGGGGCACCATTTACATCAGAAATCTGACTCAGAAATCTGGCGGCAGGTAGGGCTTCTCCATCACTGAATTATTCCATTGAAGTTAACAGCTTAATCAAGGGACCTTTTTAGGAAGGGTGGGCCCAAGCTGGGTGGACCTTTCTTTCTGGGTCCAGATTGGGAAATGAGACTGAAGACAGGGCCTCCTGGCAGCAAATGGGAGTGGGATCAGTCCTTGGGGGTGGTCTTCAGGGGAGGTCAAGGGGCTATCAGGAACCTAATTAGCTTCTACTTAGGCTGAACACTGGTTTTCCTGGCCCCTGAGGAATCAAGTATCCAATGAGGTAAGTAAGCCTTTGCAGTGTCTACTCAGCTAGGTTTATACAGACAGCGCTGCAAGCGGAAAGGTGCACACCAAGGTGAAGTTCATGCAGACACTGTCAACCAAGGCTGCACTGCAGAGCCTAGGGTAGAAGCCAGCAACAATAATACTAGTCTAGGCTCTTCTCAAGGGTCCTTACCTTCTCTTCCATTATGTCAAGGTTTGACTAAAAGATGCTGAGCTGGCAGAGTTTGACTGATCCTAGAAGCTGAGTTTTGAATGCATGTGGATTTCAGACCCCTGTAGAAATGAATTTTGAAGGGCCTGCTTTGAAAAAACATCACCCGCTTACTCCCCACCCAGCTTGTTCTACTTCCTCTGGTCCACTTCCTTTTCTCAAGCCCACTATTTTTTTTTAACTCTTTTTTTCTTTTTAATCATTACCCACCGTTTCCAATCAGCTTCCCTTTCCTGCACTTCCTCCCTTATTAGTGCCCAAATCTATTTTCTTCTTCTATCCAATGTCCCTTTCAGGTTGTAAACAAAAAGAAGCTTCATCCCCTCTTTCCTTTGGTTTCAAGTCTTGCTCATTGTTTGCTAGCTCCAGTGCATCTTCTTTTGTTTGTTTTTTAACCTCCTTGGTCTCTGTTTATGGCTTCCTAGGCCCTTGAGTGAAGACTGGGTTTGAGTTGCAGTCTAATGTTAAAAAAAACTATTGTGAGGTTTAATTTTTCCATGACAGAATATTTAAAAAGTTATGGGAAGCCCAAGAATTGGCCCATGTAAGTTCAGTCTTAATGGCTGGGAGGGTCTTCCAGGTAGACAAGGATAAAGATGGAAATGAGGGGGGCAAGGTGATTTGTAGCCAAAGGTACTGAGGATCTGAGCCTGGGGAGCTTTCCTGGGTCCAAGGCTAGGCAGAGAGAGTGGGAGGAGATATACTAGAAACAGAAGGATATGAGGACCAACTGTAATTGAAAAAAACAGAAACAAAATTTTAAATTAAGGTCCAGAGAATATTAATTAAAGTATAGTGAAATTTCTTTAAAGTAAAGGGGTCTTAATAAAATATAATTGATTGTTTTCACTATGCTGTACTTTACATCCCCGGGATTGTTTTGTAACTGCCAATCTGTACTTCTTAATCCCTTTAAAATTCACCTTTTGCACCCAGCTCCCTATCAACAGGGAGAAGTGTCATATTTTTAATTGTTACTTGTGCTCACACTATCATATGGTAAAGATACTTAATAGACATTGACTTAATTAATAATTAGTAAACAATTCCACCTCTTCCTCAACTATTTCCTAAAGTCATGAAGCATTTATTTTCAACATTTTAGTTTCCTTTGGCAGCGGTAGATAAATACCTTAAGGTACGTTGAAGAAGAAAAGAGAGGGATGGCATGTCAAACCTAGAACAAGGCAGGTTCTGCAAGGGGTGGCTCACCCAGCACAGGGCCCTCACCGCAGGCACTGTTTCCTCCTGTTGCTGGTTTGGCCTTGGGCTCTGTGTTTGGCCCCATAAAAAAGTGGGCTGAAGTCAACTCACTGCAGGAGTAGAGATCCACTCATCTTCTTGCACAGGGGTTGGAATGCAAGGGTTAAAATGTGTTGAATTGAAGGCCCCTCCATCTGCCCCTCTTCTACCTTCTCAGCCTTAGCTCTCCCTACATTCTAAGAGGTGTGTGTGTGTAGGGTTAGACAAGGCTGGCTTATCCTCAGAGCATTCAGGGAAGTTTGGTTTAGTCTGAGTATAGGCTCCAACAAGGATGCAGAGAGAGCCAAGACCAAGTAGGCAGAAGAGTCTCAAATTCCATGCTAAGGAACTATAAGGACAAATTATAAATGACTTTAAAATAGGCCCTCCCATCAAGAAAAAATTGCTGGTGTCCTACCTAGTACCCCCTCCAGAGCCACTTCCACCTTTCATTGGTTGATCTAATTTACTACTAAGTTGTAACCAGCTGAGAGCAATGCCATGATTCTTGCTGATGGAAATAGAAATTGTGTCAGTGAGTTGCAGGCGATACTGCCTTGCAGATAAGGATCGGTTTTGCGTTTATCTGTAAATTCATCTCAGCATTTCTGGAAGTGTTTCATTCATGCTACTGCTGAGACTGTGATCTGTCCTCATTGCTGTGCAGGATGCCACTGTGTGAGTGCTCCATGCTTGTCATCATGCTACTGTCAGAGCACTCTGGGGGTAAGGGGCTCTCAGTCTGAGACCACGTGAACAATGCTGCCATCAACATTTTTCTATCTGCATCTACATCTCCTTCAACATAGGTACATTTTTAAAATACAGACCAAAAGGCAGACTACTGCATGAATCCACATACATAAAGGGGAGGAGGCAGCCAAAAGTCCCAGATCCCAGTGATAATCCATATTGTTTAGGGAGGCACATCTGAGTGATAAAAGTATGAGAACAAGCAAGGAAATAAAGACCATAAAAGTCAGGATGACAGTGACTTCTAGGACGGTGGGCAAGGTGGTCAGGAAGAGACAGAGGGAGGCTGCGGGGCAGCTGGCCCAGTTCTTCCCACTGCCTGGAGATCAATTTGTAATAATTTATTAATGTGCACACTGCTCTTTGAGTGTATGTTTCATAATAAACATAGGTTTAAGGAAAAGGCCAAAAAGGGTCTGGGAAGATATTTAAAGAGATGTGCTATGGGTTTTCTCCCTTCTGAGACTCAAAAGACAAAATAGCTGCACTTTGGCCAGACCCAACAATGAGGTGGTTGAAGCGCCCACTGTGTCCAGAGAGCCACGAGGACTCCAGCCCTTTGGTGGCCAGCAGGTTCTGAGCCCCCAAGGTGGGCAGGCGGGATCAGGATCGGGCTGGAAGCCTCAGGCTTCTCTTGGCACTCCTCGGCAGACTCAGGATCCCTGAATTGTGCTGCTGGGAATCAGAGCAAGTCCTTGGGAAAGTCAGTGAAGACCTGGCCTGTGCCACCTGGCTCATAGCTGTGACTTGCTATGGGACAGCAGACATTCCTCTCTCTGTCCAGCTGAGCCACTGCAGAAGCTGGATCTGAACATCATCAAGGGGGCAAAGCTTGAACCTGATGGAAATAGGCAGCTGAAGACTCCATTCCAGGCAGAGGCTGGGCTGGAGAGGGGACAGCGGAATGTCTCAGGAAGTCTGTTCTTTGAGGCCAGGGCCTCTGACACTGCCGCCCTTCCAAAGTCCAGCCAGGGTAGAATGGGGAGCTTGGGGGGCAGGGAGGATTTAGTGTGGGAATGAGGAAGGGAAAGGAAGGTAGTCCTGTACTGGGTCAGCTCTGGCTTGTCCCTTCCTCTCCTGTCCCTCACAACCTCGTCTGAAAGTAGCCAGTGATCTTGAAGTACACAAACTTTCTTAGCCTCATTTTCCCATAATGACAACATATATAGTTTCTTGAGCACCAAATATGGGCCAGGAAGTGGGGTCAGAACTTTATATACTATACCTTAATCCTCACAGATACTCAACACGGATCCATAACCCGGCTTCAGTAATTATAAACTCACGACTGATTATCAACTCATAGTCCATCTCTATTTTAAAAGCAGGACTTGAGGCTTAGCAAGGTCAAGTACAGAGCCAGGGCTTCATCCCAAAGCCCAGCTGTCTTACCCCCTTCCCCCCAACACACACACATCCATCTGTGACATGGGGAGAGTGACAGGGGAGGGTGGGATGGGGAGTATGGCTAGCATGTGGCTGACACACAGTAGGTGCTCCCTTCCCAAGGGCATGAGGAAGAGCCAGGTCAGCCTGAGAGCGAGGAGAAATCCAGCTGTGCCCACTCATAATTTCTTTCTGAAGACAGCGTTTTCCAACGACACAAACCTGGTGAACTTGAGTGTCCTCAGACTGATTATAACAGTGCATAGCAATGCTGTGCCAGCAATTTATTAATGGAAACTGTCTTCATGATAAGCGCAATAGGTACTCTTTATAAAAGTGTAGCTGCACAAAAAAACATGGAAATAAAAGGAAAAAAAACACAAATTATCTATAATTTAACTTCCCAGATTCAACCACAACTAGCTTTTACCTTCTTAAATGCAATCCTTATGCATATTTTATATTTGTATATTCATATTAAGTATATTTACATTTACTAGTATAGTTAAAATGTAGGTACTATTTTCATCATAAAATTTCACTTTTATTATAAAATTTTCAAACATACATAAAAGCAGAGAGAACCCCATGCACTCATCACCCAACTTCAACAATGAGCACCTATGGTCAATATGTAATCTATTCCCCACTTCATGTCCTGCTGGATTGTTTAAAAATAAATTCAGATATCATAGCATTTCACCCATACACAGTTAAGTGTGAGTCTCTAGAATAATGACTCCTTTAAAAAAAAAACCTTTAATACTATTTCTCACCTTAAAAAGTTAACAATAATTCTACAATATCATTCAGGTGCACTTTTAAATGATGCTTTCTTTAAAAAAAAAAGTTAATGTCAAATCATGGAGCATTTCTCCAGGCCCTCACTAATGCTTCTGATCATATTCTATCATGTTGAGTGTATCATAATTGATCTAATCCAGTGGTCGGCAAACTCATTAGTCAACAGAGCCAAATATCAACAGTACAATTGAAATTTCTTTTGAGAGCCAAATGTTTTAAACTTAAACTATATAGGTAGGTACATTGTTATTAACTTAATTAGGGTACTCCTAAGGCGTAGGAAGAGCCACACTCAGGGGGCCAAAGAGCCGCATGTGGCTCGCGAGCCGAAGTTTGCCGACCACGGATCTAATCAGTCACTGCTCCCCACTCCTCAAGCCCTTCGGTCATTTAGGCTAGAACATCCTCAAATTAATGGTCTCCCTTGTTGGCATGTGAAGAAAACCAGCATCATTGCCCCACTTTGACCTCTGACCACAGTGTCCTGCCCCACGTGCCCACAGGTGCTGATCGAGTCCTCTGCTCCTACCTGGGCTGGGCTTGGAAAGGGAACCTCTGAGCGTGCCAATCAGCCACCCTGTTCCACGTAGACTCTGTCAGAGAGCATTTCCCTTTCCCTCCCTCTGAGGGCATCTTTATTTGCAAAGTTAGCCAATAGTGTCTGGTTTCCTGTGAGGTAGATTATCTTTAAATACTGCTGCAAGCAGGCTCAGAATCTCCAGGCTGGAGGCTAGCTGACCACAAAATGATTAGAATTCACAGATGCAGAAGACCCGAGCCTCCTGGGGCAGACCAAGAGGGGGCTGGAGGGAGTGATGATTTGGGGGCTGTGTTTTTTACCCAATGGAGGGCAGGGATAGTGCAACTCTCTTTAATGGCACACTTTTAGGCAAACTGAGAAAACCCACAAAACATCAGCTTTTCTGTCCATGAAAGGGAGCCCATTATATTCACTGGACAGCATTGGGGTGCAGATTAAATGAGCTACAGTGGGGAGCTTATTAGAAACACAGCACCTCACCCTAGACCTACTGAATCTGACTCTGAAATACTTCAGAGATTGGTGAAAGCATTGAGTTTGAGAAGCGCTGGCACAGAAAGCACCTAATGAGTGCCTGGCATCTGGTACATGCTTAATAATTATGTTTTTCTGCACCTCCTTCCTTCAAGGCATGTAGTGGATCCTTAAACCCTTCTGTCAAGTTATCCCAAGTTAATACATGATAAAGCAAACTGGCCAGGCTCCTTTCAGCTTTATTTCACTGCTCCAGCTGGATGGGGCGCCCAGCTGGGACCCGACTCCTCCAGGGCACACCCTGCCCCCTGCCCCAGCCAGCTTGTTCAGAGGACACCACAGATCTCAAGCATGAGGGCCCCACCGCCTTCCCATCACGTCCTTACCTGCCTGGCTCATGCTCAAAGCAAACTCTACTTCTGGTCCGTCCCTATACCAGGATTTAGCCAGGGTCTGGCCTTGGGAGACGCAGAGTGCATGTTGATTAAATGTCATGATTCCTCCAAGGCCTTCTCTGGCTCCTCCCTGTCCACCTCACAGCCTGCACCCCAGCACCACCTCAGTTCTAGTTGCTGTGGCCTCCTGAGGTCAGGGGTGTACTGTGTGCTCCCCACTGTGCCTCCTCCTCAGACCTGCGAGCTGGGACTGCAGTGCCGCAGGCTCCGTGACCTGCTGGCTTTGGGAGAGGCCCACCACTGGTTTTCTCTCTTTGTCTGTCATTGGTCTCAATGTTAGGCCCCTTTCCCTGCCTTCAACCCAACTCCTACTTCTCTGAGTGCTCCTTTCTGGGACCCGGCCAAGACTTTCTCTCCTCCCGTCACACACTCTCCCCAGACAATATCTACTCTGTGTCAGTGACCATCTGTGATCTGACTCCCCCGTCTCTGTGTCCAATGGGGCCTATATGACCCCCAATGGTCATCCATGTCCTTCACACCTTCATTTACCCCACTGACTGTTCTCCATCCCAAAGCCAGAGAGCTCTTTCTAGAACCCAAACTGCTGACTTAACCCTCCAAGGGTTCTGCTCACTAAAGTTCAAGTCCCCGGCTTGTGAGCATGGCCTTGGTGAGATCCCGCCCCTTGGAGCACCCCACTCTAAGCACCCCCAGCTCCTCCTGCAGGCATTTCCCTTCCTACCTCATGGGGCTAGCGGGGCTGGGGTTCCATTTTCCTCTCCTTGGAAGCTAACAAATAAGCCTGGCAGAAGACAGGACTTGATGACTCTCGCCCAGCCAGCAGCCTATTTGTGCAGGTTCCCTTTTCTCTCAAAACCCACAGGGTGACACGGGGGCCCAGACAGACACCTGCATGGGAAGAAGGTTGCATGATGAGAGAGGAACTCCGGGCTTGGGCAACGTGGCATTTTATAACAAGCCCAGTCTTTGTCGCTGAGGGAGACATGATGACCTCAACCCTCAGACTGCAAACTCCAGCCTAAGAAATGGCCAACAAAAGAGCAGCTTTGCTTTGCTTTGATGGCACACCCAACCTTCCCAATCCCACCACACCTCCTTAGGCCTGGGTAAAAGGGTCCTTGGCTCTGTCCTGGGGACCTTTTCTTCCCTGGACCCCTGTCTACCCCTCCCCAGTCCTCTCACTCTGGGTGCTGCCCAGGCTTCATTCCTCATTTCCCCAGCCCCTCTGGCCTCACCCTTTGTCTGAGCTGTTCCTTAGGAAGTGAAACAGAACATGCCACCTCCAAAATATGCGTAATGATTTTGAGCTGTAGGCACTTAAAAAACAGCAAATACAGGGAGAGGCCTTCTCTAAACTACTATCTGCCTGAAGGCCATTTCCTCCTAAAGGACCTCATTATCATAAATCGACAGGGAGTTTCATCGACAATGAAGATTGCCTCTTGTAACAGGAGACATCAGAAAGACACCACACCCAGACAACCCTCCCAACTATTCTTCTAAGGGCCCATTCAGCTTCCCTAAAAATCTTTTACTCTCCCCCTGCCCTTTCGCCTTTTCCCCATTATGCTGGTATTTAAGCCTGAATTCTAAGCCATCTCCAGGAGTATTTTTCCCTGGGCATCATATATATATAATTGCAATGTTAATAACCTGTTTTTCTCTTTTTTAATCTGTCTTTTATGATGGGGTCTCAGCCAAGAAGAACTAAGAAGAGAGAAAATGATTTTTCCTCTCCTACAGTTTCTGGTGATTCAGGTGGAACCTCTGAGACACCTTGCTTGCTCAGAACCTGCAGATGGAATCCCCGGGAAAACTGGCAAGAGCCCGCAAAGGGGAACAATTATTTTTCCTCCCCTACACTTGTTTATGAGTTCTTTACCATCCTCAGTTTCTCTTGCCATTGAAACAGTAACTACCAATGATGGCCTGGTTTCTCCTGGGTGGTGGGATGAAGATGTGTTAGGCTGGTTTCGAGGTTAAAGCCATGGGGGACAGGCTATGAGGATGGTGGGACCAGCCTGGCAGTGAAGGGCACAGACCTGAAGACTTGGTTTGGGTAAAGCTTTGTGAGAGAGACATGGCAAAGAGTAAGAAGATGACTATGCTTTGAATGCCAGGCTAAGATATTCCCACTCTATGCTACAGAGCTTTGGGGATGACCACAGCAAACTTTTAGGCAGCAAGGCCATGTGCTAGGCAATGTTCCAAGTTTTCAATGCACATGAACTCATGTAACCTGATGACCCCAGAAGTAGGTAACGTTATCATCCTCATTTTACAGGTGAGGAAACTGAGGAGAGGAGAGTGAAAGGGCGAGTCATCGCGGGGCCTACGTGGGCCGGCTGCCGGGCCCCATGAGGCACAGCCTGACCACACGGCTGGCGGCCTCGGGCACCGACTCCCCAGCCCACGGCGGGAGCCCGGCGCAGGCCACCCGCCTGCCGCCCCCAGACCGGACCCACGCGGCGGTGGTGGCAGCGGGTGGGGGGGCGGGGCGTGTGCCCTTGCCCGAGGAGATGGAGGAGGAGGCGATTGCCGGCGCCCCCAGGGACGAGAACAAGACCCAACTCGCGCCTGGCCAATCGGCGGGGCCCACAGTCCCCTCCCCTGCCCTTACTATAAAACCCACAATCCCATCAGGCCTCGCTCGCTCTCGGCCACGGGGCTACCATTGCATCGGTGAGTGTGGTCGGGGAGCCGAACTAGTTCGAAATGAAGGACTCTTTGCTTTTGCATCGGACTCGCTGGCTCCCTGATGGGCTTTTTGGGAACCTTGAAATCTGGGCACAACAGAGAGGTTATATAACTTGCACAAGGCTCATAAGTGGGCAGGGCCAGGATTTGAAGTTAGCATCTAGGTTTCATTCTCAGTGGGGGTGACACTGCCTCCAAGGAGGATAAAAAGTGGGTTTTGTGCTTTACATCTAAAGTACAGTTATACATGCAGAACATTAACAGATAGACACCATGTCCATGTTGTTGAAATTTCATAAGAGGCAATTAAAGATGTAATGTCTAAAAAGACTTACTGACCAAGATGGCAGCAGATTAGGTAGAAGCTACACTGACCTTCTCCCAGGACCAATCAGGAATTACAACTAAAATATAGAAAAATCTTCCTGAATAACCAACTTAAGACTAGCTGGAGAGAAGCCTTATAACCAAGTGTGGTAGGCAGTTGTTGTAATGTACCCTGCGAATCACACAAGGACGCCTCAAGAAGTCGAATTAAAGAGTCACATTTATTGCAAATCCGGAACTATGAGGGGGCATTTTGCTAACCCAAATCTCATAGTTTCCTCCCCAGCCCCAACACCAGATTTATATAGGCAAAGATCACAAAGGTACTGATTACATCCCAGGGTTTGGAATGAGGAACTTGGTTTGCAAAAAGCAGTTTACAGAAGCAGACCTAAGCATGTTATCTAAATTATAGTTTGGGGTCTCACTGAGTTGACAGAAACACATTATCTAGAGCCCTCGGGTCTTGGAACCACTGAGTCAACAGGGACACGTTATCTGGAGCTCTCTGACCTTGGGATAATTGTGCTGTCCTTCCCAGGTACAGAAGAATGTGCTTTCTAAGACCAGTATGACCACAACCAATAGGATATTCACATTACAATCAATAGGGTATTTAATCGAATGGGATGATTTATATAATTCAGAACATCAAAATAACTTCTCTATTATTTTAGCAAGCAAATAAGTACAGAAACCAAACATCAGGTTAAAGTTAAACTATAGTTTCTACCTGAGATGATTGCTACCATACTTCACAGTTAGACAGACTTGAGCAGAGCAAGGACGATGGGCCATATACAGAAGGTCACCATGATGGAAAGACCTGGGTGCCTAGCAAAGAACAACTGTAAGGTGGAACCTCATCCTCAGGGTGACCTTTACTCCCCTAGTATATCGCCGGTCATGTGGTTTGGACCTCCTGACCTTTCTTCCCTAGAGATAAAAATTAGGCCCCAGTTGTATTTCAGCTCCAGTCCCTGAAAAACAGACAAGTGATGCCACATCTGACCTCAGGACCAGCCGAATTGAATAGTCATCCCTACCTGGTGCCCACCAATCAATCAGTGGAGACCCTAAACCTGAAAGGATACATTTGGAAAGCTGCTGAAAAATTCTATTGAGATATTCTCCTGGGACCTCCCCTAAAATCTCCACCCTTAACACCCCTAGGCCAGAGGACCCAGTATGCTGGGGGGGGGGGGGGAAGCCCGCACCTTTCCCTTCCCCTTCCACACCCCCCAGGTGTCACCATTACCTTCCTCACTCCCAAGATCCAAGGGCCCTTCCTTTGCCTCTATCACTTGTTTCCTCAGCCCATTTCTTCTACGAATTACTTCTTCTACCGCTGTGATTTTATTTTATTTATTTATTTTTTAAATACATTTTATTGATTTGAGAGAGGAAGGGAGAGGGAGAGAGAGATAGAAACATCAATGATGAGAGAGAATCATTGATCGGCTGCCTCCTACACACCCCCTACTGGGGATTGGTGCCCTTGGTCGGAATCGAACCTGGGACCCTTCAGTCCGCAGGCCAACGCTCTATTTATTGAGCCAAATCAGCTAGGGCCGTGGTCGGCAAACTGCGGCTCACGAGCCACATGCGGCTCTTTGGCTCCTTGAGTGTGGCTCTTCCTAAGCCTTAGGAGTACCTAATTAAGTTAACAACAATGTACCTACCTACATAGTTTAAGTTTAAAAAATTTGGCTCTCAAAAGGAATTTCAATCGTTGTACTGTTGATATTTGGCTCTGTTAACTAGTGAGTTTGCCGACCACTGAGGTAGGGCATACCTCTATGATTTATAAATAAATGTTCTCTTATAGTTTGAGTCTTGGCTCTGAATTCTTTCCTAGCCAGAGCTCAAGTAACGAGAACGCTGAACCCAGTTCCAGTCTGGCCTCACCAGTCTAACACCTGGTGCCTTTCCTGGCGCCCACAACACAAGAACTTAGAGGAGCCCAAGTTGAGGCTGCTAGGAAGTGCGGAGGCTGGAGGGCTGGCTGGGCTCCCACAGGCAGCAGCTGAAGGTCCAGTGGTATATTTCAGCTGCAGGGGTTCCCCCTGAGAAGCCTGAGGTCTAAACCCCAAGCTGGGTTCCTTAGCCCAGAGCACCAGAACTGGGAAAGGTGCCTGCATAATATCTGGCTGTGAAAAGCAGCGGGATTTCTATCCGCCAGGGAGAGATGACTAGAAACCAAGGTAACCTCTTAAAGAGCCAACACGAAAAATTGCATTTGCAGCCACTCACCTTGGGCTCCAGAAGAGGGAAGGCAGAGTAGTGTTCTAGAGCTGTGTGAGGAGAGTCTGCAGTTGGTGGTTGTGGGGAGAGAGCTGAGAGTCAGCAGCTGGGACCCCGTGCTGAGTCATTCCCCCATATTGCAGAAACCATCTTTCTCAAGCAGACTTTTCCCATTCATCCAGCATTAGCCTGGGGAGAAGCAATAGCCTCACCCATTGGAATACCTGTGGAGCTTATGCTCTGCTGAGGACATATAGCTAGAGGCTGATTACGTGACTGAAACTACTAGAGAGCCTGTAGGCAGAGGCGGATCTCTGGGTGCTTTGAGTCATTGCCTGACCTATTCCTGGACCTAGGGCTGGTAAAAGCAGACCTTGGTGCCCAGCTTGGTCCTTTCCATACACACCCAGGACCACAAGTTGTGGATCGCTGATACCGGTAGCTCCAAACAGGTTGCTCAGGGCTTGGCACAGACAGCATCTGACATTGACCTGCACCTAGTCCCTCCCAAGAGTCCCAGAACCAATACACCCAGTGGCCAGCTTCAGACAACAACAGAGCAGGACCCAATAAGCTTCACAAGTAGCACATCCCCAGGGAGATGTTGGCAGGCACCAAACCCTGCTGAGGAGAAGTCTGCTACTTGTGCTTTGTGTGATCAGCACCAACACGAAAGCCTGCATGCTGTGTTTGGGGTTGAGCCTCACTGTCAGCCAGCCTGAGGCTCCAGCACGAATGGGCCAATAGCAATCAAAACTCCATTACAGACTTGGCATCTGGTGACGCTAGAGAACGAATCAGCACATGACATGCAAGTGACTATGACCAGGAAGAGGATGAAAAAAATAACCATCCACGACGCTAAGCTGAACCGGACCCGCAGCCACCATGAACAGCAAAGGTCAATATCCAATGCAGCCAACCTACCCTGTGCAGCCTGCTGGGAATCCAGTGAACCCTCCGGCCTTGCATCTCCCCCAGGCTCCACCCTATACGGATGCTCCATCTGCCTATTCAGAGCTCCATTGTCCAAGCTTTGTGCACCCAGAGGCTGCCACCATCCCCACCATGTCAGCAGCATTTCCTGGTGCCTCACTGTATCTTCCCATGGCCCAGTCTGTGGCTGTTGGACCTTTAGGCTCCACAGTCCCCATGGCTTATTATCCAGTTGGCCCCATCTATCCACCTGTTCAACCACCTGTGCTGGTGGAAGGCGGGTATGATGCAGGTGCCAGATTTGGAGCTGGGGCTACTGCTGGCCACATTCCTCCTCCACCCCCTGGATGCCCTCCCAATGCTGCTCAGCTTGCAGTCATGCAGGGAGCCAATGTCCTCGTAACTCAGCGGAAGGAGAACTTCTTCATGGGTGGTACAGATGGTGGCTAGACCAGCTGATGAAGAACCAAGGCCACTTCTGTACCAGGAAAGACATCACAGACCTTCAGCACTTCTCACAATGTAACTGCTTTCGTCAAATTAACCTGAAGATGCAGTTTAAGACACATGTTGTTGGGGTGTCTGTCTGGTGCCCAAACTTTCAGGCACTTTTCAAACTTAATAAGGAACCATGTAATGGTAGCAGTACCTCCCTAAAGCATTTTGAGGTAGGGAAGGTATCCATTCATAAAATGAATGTGGGTGAAACAGCCCTAAAGGTCTTCCTTTAATTCCTCTGGAGTAATACTGTACCATACTGGTCTTTGCTTTTAGTAATAAAACATCAAATTAGGTTTGGAGGGAACTTTGATCTTCCTAAGAATTAAAGTTGCCAAATTATTCTGATTGGCCTTTAATCTTTAAATCTTTGATTTCTATTGCTTGTTATAAGTGAAATGCATTAGTTGTCTGCCTTATCTTTTCCATCTTTTGTCCCACACCCCACGCCCAACCCATCTTCCATGCCCTCCCGCCAATCTCCAGTGAAGCAGTGGTGCAGGACAGAAAGCCTGTCAGACTAATTTCCTTCTCTTCTTGCACTTGTCCCCACTTGTCATCTTTAACTTGTCCTTCACAAGGATCCTCTGAAACCCCGTCTATGACCAAAGCAAAGATCCCATTATTTCTGTTTTTGCATCTCCTCAGGCTTAAGTGAAGGGTGCCTTTTGGACCCTCCTCATAGGCTGTCTCTTTATACATGAACCAAACCCAAATTTGCTTTGGTGCCAGAAAAACAGCTTATTTGAACAAAGGATAGCAACACAAACTGTAAACAACAGTTTGTTTAAAATGTGTGTGTGTGTGGGGGGGGGGCAAGGAGGAGGATGTATTTCATAAGCCTGATGACTTTAGAGCCAAATTTAAAGAGAGTTGTCAGATAAAAAATTGGTTACCATTTACTGTCCAAGTATCTGATGCAGCCACTCATGGCTCCCAATAATTCCTAAACTGGGTTAATGGGGTCATGTTGTGAATGCCTCTGCAAAATGACTTGAGACTAGTGAAATCTCATTAGGGCTAAGAATATTTCAGGGAGGTAAAGATACAAATTATGAACAACAAATACACATCTATCAACAAATGAATCTGAAAATCAAGTGAATAATCTGATCAACAGAATGAACTGGTGATTATAATAGAATCAGGGGCATAGAAAGGGAGTGGACTGGTTATTCTTGGGGGGAAAGGGGTGAGGGGGATGCGGGAAGAGACTGGACAAAAATCGTGCACCTATGGATGAGGACAGTGGATGGGGAGGGAGTAAAGAGGGTAGGGTGGGAACTGGGTGGAGGGGAGTTATGGGGGGAAAAAAGAGGAACAAATGTAATAATCTGAACAATAAAGATTTAATTAATAAAAAAAAGTAAAAAATAAAAAATAAAAAAAGAATATTTCAGGGATCCTTAACATTTTAATTTTCATTTTTTGCAGTTGGGTTTTATTTTTATAATTTCAGTTCATCTAAATTTTGTGTTCTGTACATGTGATGTTTGACTGTACCATTAACTGTTAAGGAAGTTAAGCATTGTATGTCTCTCTCTCTCTCTCTCTCTCTCTACACTGTGGTGCATTTAACTTGTGGATTTTTTTTATACTAAAAATGCAGAATAAAGACTATTTTGAAGATTTGAATAAAGTGATGAAATTGCATTTAAAAAAATTCAATCACAACACGGGGGTCTACACAATGCACACAAGGGACATTCTTTTTTGTTTGTTTTTATTGATTTCAGAGAGGAAGGGAGAAGAAGAGAAAGATAGAAACATCAATGATGACAAAGAATCATTGATTGGCTGCCTCCTGCATGCCTCACACTGGGAATTGAGCCCGTAACCTGGGCATATGCCCTGACCGGGAGTCGAACTGTGACCTCCTGGTTCATAGGTCAATGCTCAACCCCTCAGCCACGCCGGCCGGGCAAGGGATATTATTAGAGTACCTAGTTCTGGTGATCAAGGAGACTGTGCCACTGGGTCCCACCACTACCTAAGGCTACCCTACCAAAACTGGGAGACAACCATTCAAGAAGAAATAAAAGGCATCCAAATAGGAAAGGAATAAATAAAACTATCATGTTGCAGATGACATGATACTGTATACAAAGAATCGTAAAGATTCCACCCAAACTAATAGAACTGATAAATGAATTCAGTAAAGTAGAGGATACAAAATTAATATTCAGATATTGGTTGCATTTTTATATACCAATAATGAAGAATCAGAAAAGAAAACAGTACATTTACAATTGCATCAAGAAAAATTAAAGTACCTAGGAATAATTTTAACCGGAAGGTGAAAGACCTGTGCTTAGAAAATTATAAGACATAGAAGAAAGAAATTAAAGAAGACACAAATAAATGGAAGCATTTACTGTGCTCATAGTTAGGAAGAATTAACACCATTAAAATAACCATACTGTCCAAAGTGATCAATAGATTCAATGCATTCATATTTTAATTCCTCTTAAAATATCAATGACATATTTGACAGAACTAGAACAAATAATCCAAAATTTATATGGAAGCACAAAAGATTCAGAATAGTCTCAGCAATCTTGAGAAAGAACAACAAAGTTGTAGGTATCACACTATGTGATATCAAATTATATTACAAGACCATAGGAATTTAAAAAGTATGGTACTGGCATAAAAACAGACATGTAGATCAATGGAACTGAATAGAGAGTCCAGAAATAAACACAGACCTACATGGTCAATTAATATTGGACAAAGGAGGCAAGAACATACAGTGGGGTAAAGACAGTCTATTTAATAAATTGTATTTGTAATATTGGACAGATACGTGCAAAAAAAAAAACACCCCAAAAAAACTAGCCCAGCTGGCATGGCTCAGTGGTTGAGCGTCGACCTATGAGCCAAGAGGTCACGGTTAGACACATGCCTAGATTGTGGGTACATGCCTCCCACCATGGATGTCATGCAGATGACATGATACTGTATACAAAAAATCCTAAAGATGCCACCCAAACTAATAGAACTGATAAATGAATTCAGTAAAGCAATATTTTTCTGATATATCTCTCCTCCCACCAGCTTCCTTTTAGTGAGCTGATGCAATGATTCTCTCATCAGTGATGTTTCTATCTCTCTCTTCCTCTCCCTTCCTCTCTGAAATCAATAAAAAATATATATTTTTTAAAGATAAACCACCTTCTTACACCATATAAAAGTATAAATTCAAAATGGATTAAAGACTTACATGTAAAACTTGAAAACATATACACTACAATGTCAGACATTTCTCTTAGCAATATTTTTCTGATATATCTCCTCAGGCAAGGGAAACAAAAGAAAAATAAACAAATGGGATTACATCAACTAAAAAGTTTTACACAGCAAAAGAAACCATCAGTAAGACAAAAAGACAACCTACTAAATGGAAGAAGACATTGGACAATGATACATCTGATAAAGTGTTAATATCCAAAATTTATAAAGAGCTCAAACCACTTAACACCAGAAAAACAACTCAATTATAAAGTAGGCAGAAGACCTAAACAAATACTTCTCCAAGGAAGACATAAAGATGGCCAATAGATACATCAAAAATTGTTCAACCTCACTAATTACCAGAAAAATGCAAATCTAAACTACAATGGGATACCACCTCATACATGTCAGAATGACTGTTAACAATAACTCAACCAACAAGTTTTGGTGAGGACATGGATCAAAAGGACAGCTACTATAGAAAACTGTGTGTAGTTTCCTCAAAAAATTAAAAATGGAACTGCCTTATGAGCCAGTGATTCCACTTCTAGTTATATATCCAAAGAAACTCAAAACACTAATGAGATATAAATATCTCCCTATATGCATTGCAGCTCTATTTGCAATAGCCAAGATATAGAGGCAACCCAAGTACACATTAATAGAGGAATAGATAAAAAAGCTGTGGTACATATATACAATGACATATTATTCAACCATGAAAAAGAATGAAATGTTACCATTTACGACAGCATGGATGGACCTAGAAGGTATTATGCTAAGTGAAATAAGTCAATCAGAGAAAGACAAATACTATATGATTTTACTTATATGTGGAATCTAAAGAACAATCTAAACAAACAAAACAGAAACAGGCTCATAGATACAGAGATCAGACTGACGGTTGCCAGAAGGGCGGGGGCGTTTAGGGGACTGGGAGAAAAATGTGAGGGATTGAGAAATATAGATTGGTAGTTGCAAAATAGTCAGTGGGATGTAAAGTACAGGGTAGGAAATATAGTCAATAATACTGACTAGGGTGCCAGGTGGGTATGAGAAATATCAGGGGGGACACTTTGTAAAGTATGACTGCTTAACCACTGTACACCTAAAACTAATACAAAATAATATTGAATGCAAATGGTAATTTTAAATTTTTAATTAAAAATAAATAAAATAAAATCTCCCCTCTCCCCAGTATGGTATGTGTTCCCAATAACATAGAAATTGCCAATGGAGAATAATGGAAAGTTAATAAATTACAAACTTGAATTATAAAAATGTTTCCATTTTAACACTTCAAACTACATTCAAATTATGCAGTTCAATAAATTACTTATTACTTTGAATAAGTAATTCAAATTAATTTCTAGAATATCTTTATATTGCTTTCTGATGTTCTGGAGGGTCTGCTTTAAGACATTTTAAAATTATTTCTCTCTCATAAACAATGTCCTTTAAAGCAGCTTTTTCTATTGTCACTGTCTGGATGATAATGCTCAATGCCCAGAGGCAATAACATATCACAACTCATAGGTCCCGGTCACTGACCAGCTATTGAAAATAAGTTGTCAGTAATAATGTGGTGAAGGCCTGGGTGGGGTGCAGGTGGGTGTAGAGAGGGTCAATGAGGAAAAAAGGGGGACATTGTAGTGCTTTCAACAATAAAGATAAATTTTTTAAAAAAAGAAAAGTTCAGTTAGTGCCCGGATGAGTGC